GAAATATTTTTTTCGAAAAAAAACTTTTTCTATTTTTATTTTCTCCTTTACAAGTTATTTACAATATCATTGTTTTTAAATCCGTAAGGCAGAGTATCTGTCGTATTTGGCATGAGAATGTGCTTATCATCGTACCAACTCAGAGCTAGTTTTGCTTAATTGTGAACACATTATGTTTGATGGATCTGATCATATTTTTTGCGATATCCGAACATTTTTATGTTGGTCCAAACAGGCTTTATAGTCGTCAAATGTAATACGCTTCAACGTTAATTTTTTCACTCCTTTGGCCCGCGATTTTTCCCGATCGTCACCAGCCACTTTAAAGCTGTACATTTTCGCTCGAAGACCCACGCACGTAGTCATGACTTTACCATGATTCTCGTCTTTCATTAAACCTAATTTCTTCTTATTGCTTAGAAGTCTATTATATAAATTATTTATTGGATAATCCGAAGTGTCGAATTTATGGATATAATTTTTCATAATTTCATAAATCCTCCATTTTAAAATGATAAATAAGACTATCAGTGTCTGTGCAAAATAGTTTTGCTCTATCCTTAAAAGTATTTTTACATAATGATACTGAAAATCGGAAATGTACGTTTTAGAAATGTCTAGAATACTGAAACCTACGTATATTGGATCAGTGAATTTAATTTTTGTACGACTCATATGAATTATTACCAAATTCTTATCAAAGATAAGACTGCTATGAAAGTTGGGTTTCGATATCCAACTCTCAGCACCCCATCGTCCCTCCCAATTTGATACTAGTTTTACATCCAAATGTTTTCTAACGTTCTCCATTATTTTTCCAAAAACCGCATTATTCATTAATTTATAAAAAAAATTTTCAAAGTCATTCTGGGAATTTTTCCGGTAATTGCTATTTAAATCAATATATTTTTTAAATTATAAGCTCTGAGAGAACTTCAAGATTCTATGAATCCTAGTAATTTTCAAGCTCAAACTACAATATTGTTTTAAATTTGTATAATGAATGACGTATTTTTTTTTAGTTTAACGTCGTCAATAATTTTGGTAGCTTTGATTGACCGTTTGGAGGGATTATATGCTCTGGGCACAATGATAAAACATTATGCTCTTCATGCAATTCCTGTGGGTACTCCAAATCAATTTCCAAAAAGTATCCAGTCTCTGAGTCATCTGGAATCTGTAGGACTTTGAGGGATGACCAATCTTCCATCCAACAGAAGTTCTCATTCAGCAAATTATGACTCATTGCTGTTCCATATAAGTTATTGACATCCAGATACGTCAAATCCGATTTTTCTTCTTCAGGGATATACTCATCTGCTCCCATGTAGTGGTTATTTGCCCTTCCATATCAGTTTGAACACTGCGACAGTCCCCCTCTAATGCCTTTTTCGATGAAAAGGAGCATCTCAGAGTCTTGGAATAATTGCAATTGAACTTCAGTGATTTTTAACATTGCATCAAGCGCCAACCCCGGCGCTGTATCATAATGAAGCGGATCCAGATTGTATGAGGCGAAACAACTCCATCGAAAATTCTCGAAAATATGAATTAGCAACAAGACGTTTTTCACAGTTTTCAGTCAGATAGTTTTCAAATATAAATCCGCGTATTGACCGAATGTCTTGATGTCGAAATTTCTCCATACATCACATGCATGATTGTAATCTTTATCTGATATATTCTCGTTATTCAATTGAGAATAAAAGTCTTCTTTCCGAGATAATTAACGTTCATTTAATTAATCTCCCATGTATCTAAGTATTCGTATGGGAAAACTCCTTTGTGTGTAACGAGTTCGAATCGTCATTTTTGGGGGTAATGACTGGTTGTGATTCTCTTTTTTTCATCCTCTAAATACATATGACGAAAGTTTATCAACACTGCTTGCTATAAAACGGAATGAGTCAATGAATCTCAAGTGGACTCTTGTCGATTTGACCGATTTGGTAAAGGGAATGTATTTCTCTTTATTTGTGACGTTCGTGATTTTTTAATATGAAATATGAAATTACTATTTTATAAAATTTTACTAACAAAAATGGACGCCAGTCGATGTATTTATTTTAAGGAGAGAGCACCGACTCCTCTCCATAGATCTTCAACTAATAATATGATTTATCAAAATTATAGCTAACTCAGAAAGCCACAAAATCCTTATGTCAAGGGGAAGGAGGGACGATACCTCCTCTATGGGTTTCTCCTCCACTCTCACACCACAATGACAAACACGAAGTTATGAAAAATGATGAAAAAGAAATATAATTTCGTTCTAAATGTTACATGAATAATTCGTATTTTACAGATAAGTTTCGTGGAGGTTTAATTCCCGCAAATATCGATGAAAATACAATACAAACTAGAGATTGTAATAGGGTTCTAACAAAATTTGCTTCTTAGCAAAAAAATCTCCTGAGAGGATACTAATAATTCTACTTAAAGTGAAATTAAATCCTAAAGCTTCAACATTTACATTCGAAATATCTTAAGGTCTCTCACTAAACATCAGAATTGTTTGGAAAACTGGGACGAGAGTCGTCATCAACTCCCGAAACTCAAAGTGACGCCAACTAATGGCGGAACGAGCCAAAATAATGGACGCGCCCAACGACGCTAACATAAAAAAAAATCCACACAAAGTTGAATTTTCTTCAATTTTAACTCAATTTCGTGCTTTGCCCACCTGTTTATTGGAGATCTTACCTCCCTCCAGGATGAAGCTCAGCTCCGAAGACCAATATACAGAAAATTTACCTCAAAATACTCGAAAATTATACTAAATTAGCCGACGCAACTGCGCGCTAGGCCAGCCAGGAGTCAACTCTGCCCAAGTGGCTGCTGGACCGCTTGGACTACCTGCTTGGGCCATTTCTTGGGGGGATTTCCCCCTTTCATTGAGAGACAACCATTTTGATTGGATGTTGAAGTATTGTAATAGTCGGCATTTCTAACAAAGAATATGAGTGGCTTAAAATTTTAGGAGCTTCTATCACAATTCGTAGAATACGAAAATTATCTATATATCGATTTCTAATCGAAATTCCGCAAAAAATTTCTCGATGAACAAAAATATTTATATTGTGAGTTGATGTCTAGGAGTCTTCTAGTGACTCCTGGTGGTGTTGGATGGGCGAAATGAAGGGATTATCCTCTTTCGGGTGTTCCTCATGGCCCGGATACCCGGGACCTTTGTCATCCAGCGTTGGAGGCATTGGATCCTCAGTTGAAGACACCTGGGGTTACCATTAGAAATGGCTGTGCCCTGTACAGGGACGCCATCATCCCATCCTCTCTCATGTGGGTCTGGACGGGTTGGTCTAGATTTTCTCTGGCCTCAAGAGATCTTTCTCGAGGCCTCCTCTTCTTTCTCGAATCCGTCGACTCGGAGTTGTACCCGACGAAGACGACAAAAGAAAAATAATTATGATCGAGAAGGATTTTTATAATTTTCCTTCCTGATTCCTCGGATTGAGAGTAGCCTCCTGGTGTCTCAATGATTTTATTTTACGCAAATATTCAAATGTAATATAAAAAAAATCAATAATAATATTTTAGAGGCTTGACGACCCACGTCGTCACAACGTCCCTTATTTAAAAACAACTTGTCCTCCTGGACAAGAATTAGAAATCCCAAACACAAAGTAAACAAAGCAAGAAACGAAAAAGGAAATATTAATTTTAATTTCAGAGGATTGGCCTTTCTCTCACTCCGAGTATCGGGAAAGAATCAACTCGGAATCAACAATTCCAACGTTTAATATTAGGAGAAAATTGCAGTCAAATAAATACAATTAATCATAATTTTATCATTATCTGAAATGAATCCGTAAACAATCACGCGTCAGTCACAGATTGAACGAGACTTTTCCATTGAGAAGGGGCCCGACAATCGTCTTTCATTCCTTCTATCATGATTCTTCATTAGATGTGACTTTAAAAAAAATAGAATCCAAAAAGTATCGAGAAATCAAACGATAAGAAAATTAATTAGATTAACTTTGGTTTTGACGAAAATATCTATTATTTCTCGTTAGTAAGTTCACAGCCGAGAACTATGGTCAGTCTATGGTCAATTTTTAACTTGTAAGATATTACAAAACCTTTTACTCTACATTTTAACTTCATTATTAACCCCCAAACTTAAGCCTTCCTAACATAATGAGCATACAAAAAAAAAAAATAGCATAGCAAAAAAAAAATAATGATGTTGAACAGTTTTTCGCCATCATTGGCGAGGTTTGTGACTTCCTCGAGAGGTGGATTTGCCCGAAGGGCAATTTTTAGCATCATAACCCTGACGACCACAAACATCGCAGAATCTCCTCTTCAATGGTATCGGGCATTGTTTGAAATTGTGCTCCTCGCTATCACAATTCCAGCATCCCAACTCCCCCGAGTAGTCAATGGAATAACCTTTCCTTGAAAACAAAGATTTTGGAGGAGGTTTCCTCTTCTGTTGAGTTCTCTTCCTTGGAGGTTCAGGAGATGGGGGAGGAGGTTTGAGTACCCTAGCCAAAAACTCGTCCAACATCTCTTCTTCCTCACTAAAATTTTGCGGAAGGTCATCGGAATGGACCTTCTGCAGTGAATCTACAGGATTGACATTCTGCTGAACCTCAACGTCGATTAACTCCTAGCCTGGCACGATCTCTTCGACAGGTCCCTGTTCGATAGTTGGAAAATACTCGTTTTCCTTCCGAATTTCAACATTTCGTCGACTTGGTGGGGAAGTAGATCTGGCACGAGCCGAGAAATAAACTCGTGTGCCAATTGATCTCCTATTCCGAAAAAAAAAAATATTTAACCTCTAAATTTATTCTCAACTCAATATACTCTCCTAATACAAAAATAAATTATTAACGATCCTTACTTTTGGGTGATTGTACTCCTTATCCTTCCATAAGTCATTATTCTCTTCAGAAGCTTTTACTTTGGAATCAATCAAATCGTTCGAATGTAAAGAAGATTTAGAAAGTGGACTTGTTTGTTTGGCGTAACCTCTATACCTCTGGGCGATTCTCAACGGGCGGCGCCTCACGAGTGTGATACGGCTTGAGGCGAGAGACGTGATGTCTCCCTGCATACCGACCGTTAATATCGACCAGTTCGACAATGACAGGTGAGACCATTTCGAGAACCGTGAAGGGTCCAGCATACCTAGGGGCCAGACGACCCACTAGATAATGTAGAGCTGATGACAGCACGAAATTTTTCTTCAAACTTGATCTCCTACTTTATAGACAACTGGACGGTGCTTCTTGTCGTAATAAAATTTTTGATTAACGGAAGCGTCCAATGAAAATTCTTTAACTCGATCTCTCAATTGTTGGAGATTGGCCATACGTTGATTCCAATCAACATCCTGATCATTCAATTCATGTGGGAGGGGACGAATCTCACCCCCTGAAATGCAAAGGTCTTAATTCCCTTCCATGATTTAGGTAGGCTGGACTGATATTTCCCAGAGACGAGTGAGGAGCTATATTATAAGCATAGGTGATGTCTCTCAGGTGCAGATCCCAATCAGAATGATTTCTAGTCATATACGTGGCTATCAAAGTCTTCAAATTTCTATTGACTCTCTCAACTGGATTTGCTTGAGGCCAATAGGGCGGAGTGGTGGAGTAAATGATTCGATATTCAGTGCAGAAATCTCGGATAATATCACTGAGGAATGCACGTGCATTGTCTGTATGCAGGACCTCAGGGGTCCCCCAATCATACAGAACATCGAGAAGACAGTCACGAATAGTTTCACCAGTGGCATCAGCTGTAGCTCTTGTTACTATGTAACGAGTGACAGCATCTTCAATCACCACAATGAATCGATGACGACGATCATTGGGAGGNTTTCGGTCAGTCACACAGCCCCAGCCCTGTGTTTCTCACTAGGCTAATAAGGCTGGTGACAGCCGCTTGTTGTAAGTCCTGTGGTTTCAGGAAAGCCTGGCCCCAGATTTCATAGCGACGGAGTGCTAATGGGGGGCATTCACATAAAATGTGGATGACGCCCTCCTTATCGCCTCCGCACAGTCTGCAGTCTTCCTGTTCTGCAAGGTTCATCTTGAACAGATGAGCTCTGAGAGCTGTATGACCCGTAAGGAGCCCTACTGATACCCTCAGATCCCCTCTGTGCAACTCCAGAAGCGTTCTGGTCCTAACTCTTAGTTGCCCTCTCATAAGCAGTTTCGCTTGTCTGCGGGTCGCAACTTTCTCCCAACGCCTTACATGATCCCGCTGGAAATGATCTTTAATAAGAGTTTTTCCCACTGCGAAGGACATACCAAGCAGGCCGTGTGAGGGAAATCCATGTGTGTGAGCGGCGTAAGCCATGGCCTCGGCCATACCGTGCCTAAGGATGCGTGGGAGGGGGAGCTGTGTCGCTAACGGTGCCTCTCAGAAACCTGGGCGACCACTGAGAGTAGTCTTGGGTATAACCCACCCGAGACAAGCCAAGCCCTGGGCAATCGCGGCAATGCATCAGGTGAAAACGCTTAACCGCGATACTCGTGGGAATAAAATGGAAACCAATTTAAAAAATCTTAATATTCAAAAAGCAACTTCGGGTGGGGCCAGCGATGGCGAACACACGAAGTCTGACAAGGCTGACCAGTCTGGTACCGATGTGAATCGGGTCANGAGTCCACCCAATCCATGTGTGTGAGAGCGGCGTAAGCCATGGCCTCGGCCATACCGTGCCTAAGGATGCGTGGGAGGGGGAGCTGTGTCGCTAACGGTGCCTCTCAGAAACCTGGGCGACCTCTGAGAGTAGTCTTGGGTGTAACCCACCCGAGACAAGCCAAGCCCTGGGCAATCGCGGCAATGCACCAGGTGAAAACGCTTAACCGCGGTACTCGTGGGACTAAAATGGAAACCAATTTAAAAAATCTTAATATTGAAAAAGCAACTTCGGGTGGGGCCAGCGATGGCGAACACACGAAGTCTGACAAGGCTGACCAGTCTGGTACCGATGTGAATCGGGTCAGACTGAGTGGAGCCGAGAGAAGACGTCGCAAGAGAGCGAAGCTGCATCAAACCTCGGGGGCGATTGCAACCTTGACGGATGCAGCAGCGAAGGTCGATGAGGGAAGGGGGGAGGGGGCTACGAGGAAGGCAATAAAACGCCTTCCATCAGAGCGTACTACGCCAAGCCCCTCAGTCAGACCGAAAGAAAAGAGAATGAGAACGCAGGATCAGGGCACATATGCTCAGAACACTACGAGCTCATTCAAGTTTGCAGTTATGCCGGAGTCATATCCGGATCAGAAACTGGGCACTGAAGAGGTAACGGAGGTGAAGAAACTCCTGAAGAGGGCCATTCTGGCGTTACCTGACGGGGTGAAAGCACCCACCTTCAACGGTGTCTGGGAAAGAGAAGGTGTGGCAATGGTGTGCTGCACTGATGAGGAAACGGGAAATTGGCTGAAAAGCCTTTTCCCCGAAAACAAAATAGCTGGACTTACTGTACGTGTGGTCGCAGCCTCGGAGCTTCCCAAGAAGCACAGGGTTGTACTACACGTGGAAGACCCAGATCTAACCGCTCAAGAAGCACTGTGCTTCCTTGAGAAACAAAATGCAGGACTGCAGGCCAGAGAGTGGGTTGTCGCTCGGGGCAGTGAGAGTAGGGACGCGAAAAGTGCCCACTTCGTTGCGCTGATAGACGACCGATCACTCTCTGTTCTGAAAGCCTGCAACTTCAGACTGCACTGCGGGATTCAAAAAGCAACTGTCAAGCTGCTTGCGAAAGACCGTGGTGAAAGTCAGAAGAAGGGTACATAGAGGTACCAGGAAAGTAGTCATCATTATGGCTGCAACCCGGGTGCACATTGTACAGATAAATTTGCACCACAGCAAAGCAGCCTCGGCTACTCTAGTCAGGCTGTTAGCTGGGATGCAGACTGTCATAGCAATGATCCAGGAACCATGGATAGTGGACAATGCTATTAAGGGCCTCAGTGGTTGTGGCAGAATCTATCACGCAAACACTCAGGAGAAAATTAGATCTTGCATTGTTATTAAAGGACTAGACTCTTTCTTCTGTTCACAGGCTAGTGAGGGAGACCTGGCTGTGGCACAAGTGGATCTGGGCCTGGGACAAGGCGAGGAAATGAGCCTGGTTGTAGGGTCAGTTTACATGCCCTATGACTCGGCTGAACCACCTCCTTCGAAAAAAGTAAAGGACCTATGCAACCATGTGAAGGAAAGGGGACTTGAACTCCTGCTAGGTTGTGATGCCAACTCGCACCATGTAGCATGGGGGAGCACCGGCATTAACGGCAGGGGGGAAAGCCTCCAGGAATTCATAATGGGGGCCGGTCTAAACATCCTTAATAGGGGGTCAGAACCTACCTTCATAGATCGGAGACGACAGGAGGTCATAGATATCACTCTGGGGACGGATAGAGTGGCAGACATGATTGGGGACTGGAGGGTCTCAAAGGACCTCTCAGCGTCCGATCATCAAACCATAAGAATGTCCATCCACACAGTGAAAGAAACGGAATGGGTGAGAAACCCAAGACGAACAAACTGGGGAAATTACCGAGAGAGTCTATCTGACAATCTCAGGGATATCATCCTCAGATTTAACAACAAAAAGCAGCTGGAGGAGGCTTCGATTGCCCTAAACCAGGCCATCATGGACTCCTTCGAGACAAACTGCAAGCTTATCCCGAAAGGGCAGCCCACTGAGACTCCTTGGTGGTCAGAGAGGCTCGGTGGGCTGAGGGGCAAAGCTAGAAAAGCTTTTAACAAAGCTAAGAACATGAGAGCGGGCCCCCGTAAGGAAGACGCATGGAAAACTTACAGAGGCTTGCTCGCAGATTACAACAAGGCAATAAAGGCAGCCAAAGAGGACTGCTGGAGGGCTTTCACAAGCAATGTGGAGAGTCAATCGGAGACCTCTAGGCTGGCAAAAATCCTTGGAACAAACAAGACTCCATATCTAGGGAGCCTACAGGCACCAGATGGCAGCCACACGGAAACCATGGGAGAGACTCTGAAACTCCTAATGAACACCCACTTTCCAGGCTTCATACAGGCCCAGGAGAGAGATAAAGAAACAATGCAAAATCAGAGGGATGTCTACGAAACCCATGATTGGGCATTGGCAAATAAAGTAGTGCAGCCCTGGGGGGTCAAGTGGGCCATCAAAACCTTTGAACCCTTCAAGGCACCGGGACCAGACGGGATCTACCCAGCCCTATTACAGGAAGGGATAGAGACTATCACGGGACCCCTAACCAAGATACTCAGAGCTAGTATAGCCCTGAAACATGTCCCTAGTGTGTGGAATGAGACTAGGATAGTATTCATTCCCAAGCCGGGAAAAACCGGTTATATAAAACCAAAAGACTTCCGTCCTATAAGCCTCACATCCTTCATCCTGAAGACCCTGGAGAGGCTGGTGGATAGACACATCAAGGCCGGGCCCTTGGCTGACAGACCCCTCTCCCCCTGTCAATATGCATACAGAGAGGGAAGATCAACAGATACCGCCTTACATCACCTGGTGGGACTGATTGAGGGACAACTGGCGGTCAAGGGTTTTGCCATAGGCGCCTTTCTGGATATTGAGGGGGCTTTTGATAGCACTTCGAATCCGGCTATAGAAAAAGCCATGGAAGAACGACAGGTGTCCAAGACTATCATTGCTTGGACACAAAACATGCTGAAAAGCAGAAGACTGTCGGCAGGACATGGGAGGGTATGTGTGGAGGGACGTCCGACTAGGGGCTGTCCGCAGGGGGGAGTTCTCTCGCCCCTGCTATGGAACCTGGTTGTAGATGGACTTCTAAATCAACTAAGTGAGGCCGGCTTCCACGTCATCGGTTTCGCCGATGATGTGGCAGTTGTTGTGAAAGGCGGATTTCTGAGGGTGCTAAGGGACCTGATGGCAACAGCCTTCAATATCATTGAGGACTGGTGCAGGGTAACTGGCCTATCGGTAAATCCAGCCAAAACAACAATCCTGGTTTTCACCAGAAATTATAAACTGGAAAAGATCCAACCTCTGAAGCTAAATGGCTCGGAGATTAACTACACCAGCAGAGTGAAATATCTGGGTGTCCTCCTGGATAATAAACTCAGCTGGAAAGAACATATCTGTACTCAGAGAAATAAAGTGTTTGCCTCTATGTGGGCATGCAGGAGAGCTGTGGGCAGGACATGGGGACTCAATCCTAAAATGATGCTCTGGCTCTACCAAATAGTTCTACTTCCGAGACTGTTATACGCTGCGGTCGTCTGGTGGCCGAGGGTGAGTAAGACGGAAACAAGGAACCTGTTGAAAAGCCTACAGGGAACCTTCCTGAGGGCTGCAACAGGAGCCATGAAATCGACACCTACTGAGGCGCTAGAAATAGCACTCAGTATCCCACCCCTCGACCTTAGGGTTGTGAGTTGTGCTACCACAACTGCATATAGACTAAGGTGCCAACTAGAATGGAAGATGACGGGCCAAGGCCATACAAGGCTTAGCCTAATCAATGATCGACCCTTCATAGGTAAGACGGATAGGATTCCTAGGAAGTATCAGATCAGGAAAACTTTCAGAACGAGTATACCACCCAGACAGGAGTGGCTAGACTCGAAACGTAAACCAGGACCAAGAGAGGACTACTGGTTTACGGACGGCTCTGGCTTCAATGAAAGTTTTGGGGCAGGCATCTACCGTCTGAAAGATGGCTTCGGAGAGAGTTTTCCGCTGGGCCATCATTCAACCGTCTTTCAAGCAGAGATGCTGGGCATACTTAAGTGTGCAGAGTATCTGAACGCGAGAGACACAAAAAAGATGAAAATATTCATCTGCAGTGACAGCCAGGCAGGCATTGGACACACTGGGTAAAAACAACCGGGTCACCGTAACCTGGGTGCCAGGTCACCATGGGATTCTGGGTAATGAAGAGGCAGATAAGCTGGCCAAGGAGGGTACAGATATGGACCCATAACATCAACACAAATCACGGACCAAGGTTCCCCATAAGTTCTAACCCCCATAAGACCACCTGGTTTCTTCTGAACTACTTTAATCCTCTGACACCTATCGCAAGTCTTCACGTAACCTTTAATATCGTCATTCATACCCTGCCAATAGTAAGAAAGACGAGCCCTTTGAATTGTCTTTGTGATTCCCAAGTGACCAGCACTGGGATTATCATGAACTTCTACTAGAATTCTACGACGTTCCTGAGGAGGTACCAACCACTTCCAGGAATCGAGATCACCAACAGTCTCCTCCTTCAAGGGTGTTGGGTGGAAGACGAAGATTTTGTCTTCCACTAGTCTATAATTAGGAAATTCCCCAGGTTTTTCTCGAATTTCTGCCATCAGTTCCTCATAACGTGCTACCTCAATATCATCGTCTAGAGCCATCAAAAACGTTTCAAAATCTTCTTTATCCTCATCGTCTTCATCAAAATTCCACTCAATACGTGACAATGCGTCTGGAGCTTGATTTAAAGACCCTTTCCTATAAATAATTTTACACTGGATGGCAGCAAGTCTCATCGACCATCTAGCTAGCCCCCCAACTGGATCATTAAGATTTTTCAACCATGTTAAGCTAGAGTGATCTGTCACTACACTAAACTCATGTCCCTCCAAGTACGGGCGGAATTTATGCACTGCCCAGATGATAGCCAGGCACTCTTTCTCCATCGTAGTGTACCTAGTTTCTGGATCTCTTAATTTCCTACTAGCATAAGTTATCAAATGTTCTTGGCCATCAAATTCCTGATGGAGAATAGCTCCCAGACCAATGTCACTAGCATCTGAATAGAGAATAAAGGGCTTGGAAAAATTGGGGTAGCTGAGGATCGGAGAAGAACACAATTTCTCCTTAAGAATTTCAAAAGCTTCTTGTTGGGATTCAGACCACTCCCATGTAGCTTTTGAGCCAGTGATGCTATGAAGAAGGGCTGCTATTCCAGCAAAGTTGAGAATGAACCTCCGATCCCATCCTGCCATACCCAGAAATCTCTGTAATTCTTTTTTATTGATTGGAACAGGATATTTCAAAATTGGAGCCATTTTGTCAAGATCCACCCTCAATCCCTGCTGATCAATAATAAATCCGAGGTATTTTACCTCCGATTGACAAAAGTGACTCTTCTCCCGATTCATAACTAGTCCTGCAGCTCTGATTTTGTCCAAAACGACTTTCAAAATCTCGAAATGTTCTTCGAAAGTTGACGTTACTACCAAAATATCATCAAGATAGTCAAAAGCATTGGGGTCCATTTCCGGCCCAATGAGTTTGTCCAGAAGCTTTTGGAAAGTCGCAGGAGCATTGCACAGGCTATAGGGCATTCGAGTAAATTGAAATAATCCCATGCCTGGCACTGTGAATGCTGTAATTTCTTTACTGGATTCCTCTAGGGGAATCCGGTGATAGGCGTGGCTAAGGTCAATGTTGGAGATGTATCGAGCGCCTCTCAAACGATCTAAAATTGATTCCATACGAGGTAATGGATAAGCATCCTTCTTCGTGAAACTATTAACTTTACGAAAATCTAGACAAAATCGATAAGCATTATTGGGTTTCAAGTGCATGACAATTGGACTAGACCAGGGACTTTTGCTGAGTTCAATGACTCCTTCACTGAGCATACGCCTAACCTCCTCATGAATAGCCTCTCTAATACGAGGAGAAAATGGATAACATCTCTGGTGAATAGGAGGATGTCCCTGAACATCAATATGATGTTCAGCCAGATGAGTTACCCCAAATTCGTCAGGTAATGGTAACTCTACATTGACTTTCAAAAATTCCTTCAACTTTATTTCTTGAACTTCATCTAATTCTGCTAACATCCAGCAAACGTCCTCTTCAGATACATCAGGTCCTGGAGAGAAAAATGGATAACATTCCTGGAGACCTTGAAGACCCCAGGTCCCAGTGTAACCATCAATGATAAACCCAAACAACACTACAAAATCCATTCCTAGCACACAATCAGTGGTAAGACGAGGAGTAATTTTGAACTCCATCACCTTGGATAGGTCGACAATAGTGACTGGGACCCGAATGACACCTAAAACTGATATTCTGTCGCCATTAGCTACTACGACTTCTGATTTAGGAGTGGAAAAAATCGGGAGAGCTAATTCTTCAGCAATCTCCTGACCTACAGAACCTAAATGGGAGCTATAAGCTCCTGTGTCCACCAAAGCTTTAATAACACGATTACCAATCTGAATGTTAATTTTAATTTTATAACCTGGATTTATGCTAGGCAAACAATTCAGGACCAAAATTTTCTCTTCTTGATTTCTTTTCAAGGTTGGAGGAAGCATGTCATTCTGAACAATAAGTGGTGGTTGACATAAAGATTTTACTCTAGACTTTGCGTTATCTATAACTTTAATTTTCTTCCACGAGTTTGCACTAATTTTAGCCCTCTAAGAATTATCTCCCGACTTTACTTGAATTGGCTCTAATATAATTTCTGCCTCAGAGTCGTCATCTACATCAGACTCATCATTGCTTCTAGACTTATTAGAAGTTCCAGCCTCTACCGGCTGATCTGAACTGTTCTGCCCCTTATTTATAAAAAATTTAGGGGAAGCAAATCCAGGGAAGGATTCTATTTGACTCCTCTCATGCTTCAACTTAAATTTCTCAATGCCAGAGGTTCCAGCCTCCACCGGCTGATCTGAATCCCTCTGCCCCTTTTTTAGGGTAGATCGAGGGTTAGACAAAGTCCGAGTAACTTTGTCATCACCAATAACTACAATTTCATCAAAAGTTCCAGTCTTGACCGACTGATTTGAACTTTTTTGTTCCTCATCTAGAGGAGTATTCTGGGAAGATCCTGAAGGAATCTTCTCAGAAACTTTACAATTATCATAATCATTATCAAAAATTTTAGGGAGTTGATTAGTACATTCTCGGGGGAAACCTTTAATTTCAATTTCATCATTCTTAGGGTCTAATCTTGACCAGGACGTGCCCCGGACCCTTTCGAGACGCCCTGTGAGTCGTTTCCCTTACACTGGGGACAAGTANCAGAAACTTTACAATTATCATAATCATTATCAAAAATTTTAGGGAGTTGATTAGTACATTCTCGGGGGAAATCTTTAATTTTAGTTTCATCATTCTTAGGGTCTAATCTTGACCAGGACGTGCCCCGGACCCTTTCGAGACGCCCTGTGGGTCGTTTCCCTTACACTGGGGACAAGTAAATTTCGTAAAACCTGGTGTTCGACAACCATAGCAAATTAATTCGTTAGCCCGAGGACATTTTACAATACCATGGCCTGGCGCTCCACAATGATAACAATCATAAAACCCTGGAGTTGGTAATGATTAATACCCCGGAGTAGTACCTTTTGGAGTACTCTCCCTGGCCTCAGGTTGAATTGGTTTAGCTGGAGTCGTGGGTGGCTTTGGTTTTGACAAAGGATTACTCTTGTTATTTACTTCTAATTTAGGTTTTGTTGGATTCGACTTGTTTCCCGTACCAAAAGTGGGAGTTGAAGTCTTATCAATCTTTTTATCAGTTGATTTATTACCATTTTCAGGCTCGTCAATGATACAAACTTTGTCTTTCTTAGATTTTTCTTGGGGACGTTTAACAAATTGTACTCCAAATTGCACTGTAGCTTTATTTTTATTACCACGAATCTAACTGTCCTCAATGTCCAGATTCCTCTCCAAGAGCTCATCATAAGAGTTAAAGTGATGTCTCTTCAAAAAGAACAAATAGTCACCATGAAATCCATGATAAATTTTGTCGAGCTGCATATATTCTGGTGTTGGCATAGGCAACCTAGCATACATGTCAGCCATTGCTGTGACATATTCAAAAGCACTTTCCCCAGGTTGTTGTTTCCTATCCCAGATTTTCTGCTGAAGGGTGGCTCCAGTGCCCCCCTTGGAGAAGGTCTTGTGAAATTGATACTCGAAATCTAACCAACTCAACTCAGTGAATCTTTTACGTCTGAACCACAATAATGCCTTATCAGTCAATACTTCTGAGAGGATATGGCATCTATCCCCCTCCCTTATTCTTCTGCTATTGCACCTCTCAACGAATTCTGTCAGGAAATTTTCCCCATCTTCGAACGGCTTTCCAGCGAATTTCATCCCCCAATTCCTAGCCTGTTCTACTGCCCTACTCAACGAGGAATAGTAAGCAGAGTCTGGAAAAGGATTCCCAAACCTCGAGTGAAAATAATCTTCCTCGTTGGGGTTTCGTCCAAAAAAGTTGTTACGTTGATGGTATTGGGGCTCCTGGTAAGCACCAAATTGTCTAGAAAGATTTTGAGAGTCTCTATCTCTCTCAAATTGTGAGTATTGATAATTCCGGTTTCCAGGATCATGATCAAAAGAATAGGAATGTTGTTGTGGTGGGGCTCTCCTGAATCTAGATTCAGAAAAATTGCAATATTGATCTCTCGTGTTTCTGATAGGATTGGAGTATGGCTCACGAGAAAATGAGTTTCTTGAGTTAGAGGTTTGACCTCCGTAGAAAAATTCACGTTGGGAAAACTCAGTTCTAGGATCTCGAGATTGTTCAGAGTAAATTTGAGATTGGGGATCCCCGAATTTTTGAGGGAAATTTGTAGGTCTTTGAGGATTTGATGTTTGCGAATTCTCCCCAACATTATAATGTCGAGCTGATAATGATGGTAGTTGGATACGTGGGGTCCCACGCTCACTCAAGGGAGTGAGAGTGGAAGTGTGATAGCCTTGAGAAGCTGGTTCTTGGGAAGATTGACCGAGAGGAGATTCTGTTTCGGAAAAACGTCTAGTTCTAGAAGTGAAGGCTTGATCTGCCTCCCAATTGACATGCCGTTCTGGATGCCATTTCTTTTGCATTTGCTCACTCAAATAATACTCCAATTCAGGATCATAAGCTATTGTCTTGTCACCTAAACTTTGTGTATTCTCGGATGATTCTTGGGAAGATGGCGAAGGTGCCGGATTCCTCCACTCAGATAACTCAGGATTTTGTTTCACTGATTCATCGATAGCATGTCTAATTTCAGGAATTGTAGCTCCTACCTTGGAAATGTATTTAATCGGACTTTCTTTAAATTTACTTAACCTCTCTTTCAATTCTTCAAAATTTCCCACGGTATCTAAACCCAACATTCCTAATTGTTCACGCAATTCGTCTTCAGATACTTCCTCATCTCTACCATGTGGAATCTCCTCTTTATTCTCGTTAAACATTGTGATACAATAAAAAATTAAATTTACTCAAGGGATCTCATCTGTTTGCTTGATTGTGCTCGAGTATTGGAGAAGCACCATAGGTGGCCCCACGTCGGGCGCCAAAAATATATAAGTTATATAATATTATATATAATTTATATATTACAAGTAGTTGTGACGTTCGTGATTTTTTAATATGAAATATGAAATTACTATTTTATAAAATTTTACTAACAAAAATGGACGCCAGTCGATGTATTTATTTTAAGGAGAGAGCACCGACTCCTCTCCATAGATCTTCAACTAATAATATGATTTATCAAAATTATAGCTAACTCAGAAAGCCACAAAATCCTTATCTCAAGGGGAAGGAGGGATGATACCTCCTCTATGGGTTTCTCCTCCACTCTCACACCACAATGACAAACACGAAGTTATGAAAAATGATGAAAAAGAAATATAATTTCGTTCTAAATGTTACATGAATAATTCGTATTTTACAGATAAGTTTCGTGGAGGTTTAATTCCCGTAAATATCGATGAAAATACTATAAAAACTAGAGATTGTAATAGGGTTCTAACAAAATTTGCTGCTTAGCAAAAAAATCTCCTGAGAGGATACTAATAATTCTACTTAAAGTGAAATTAAATCCTAAAGCTTCAACATTTACATTCGAAATATCTTAAGGTCTTTCACTAAACATCAGAATTGTTGGGAAAACTGAGATGAGAGTCGTCATCAACTCCCAAAACTCAAACTGACGCCAACTAATGGCGGAACGAGCCAAAATAATAGACTCGCCCAACGACGCTAAAACAAAAAAAAACCCACACAAAGTTGAATTTTCTTCAATTTTAACTCAATTTCGTACTTTGCCCACCTGTTTATTGGAGATCTCACCTTCCTCCAGGATGAAGCTCAGCTCCGAAGACCAATATACAGAAAATTTACTTCAAAATACTCGAAAATTATACTAAATTAGCAGACGCAACTGCACGCTAGGCCAGCCAGGAGTCAACTCTGCCCAAGTGGCTGCTGGACCGCTTGGACAACCTGCTTGGGCCATTTCATGGGGGGATTTCCCCCTTTCATTGAGAGACAACCATTTTGATTGGATGTTGAAGTATTATAATAGTCGGAATTTCTAACAAAGAATATGAGTGGCTTAAAATTTTAGGAGCTTCTACCACAATTCGTAGAATACGAAAATTATCTATATATCGATTTCTAACCGAAATTCCGCAAAAAATTTATCGATGAACAAAAATATTTATACTGTGAGTTAATGTCTAGGAGTCTTCTGGTGACTCCTGGTAGTGTTGGATGGGCGAAATGAAGGGATTATCCTCTTTCGGGTGTTCCTCATGGCCCGGATACTCGGGACCTTTGTCATCCAGCGTTGGAGGCATTGGATCCTCAGTTGAAGACACCTGGGGTTACCATTAGAAATGGCTATGCCCTGTAGAGGGACGCCATCATCGTATCCTCTCTCATGTGGGGCTGGACGGGTTAGTCTAGATTTTCTCTGGCCTCAAGAGATCTTTCTCAAGGCCTCCTCTTCTTTCTCGAATCCGTTGACTCGGAGTTGTACCCGACGAAGACGACAAAAGAAAAATAATTATGATCGAGAAGGATTTTTATAATTTTCCTTCCCGATTCCTCGGATTGAGAGTAGCTTCCTGGTGTCTCAATAATTTTATTTTACGCAAATATTCAAATGTAATATAAAAAAAATCAATAATAATATTTTAGAGCCTTGACGACCCTCTCCGTCACATATTAATTGGGAGTAATGTGACTGAGCCTTGGAATTCTTTCGCAAGAGGTTTAATAAAAAAATGTGAGTCATAACCTGATAAATTGTGAAAAACTACTGGGATTACACACGATTCCGTGTAATTCAAATTACAACCGGGATGAGCAACACCACGATATTTGCCTGTGAAGTGGCAATGATCCTGATGTTTCACTGCTTTTTCGGTGAATGCTCTGCTACAAACATAACAATTTTTAGCTGCACTAAATGCTCGCTCCATTTCAAAAGTCAAGTTCGTGGGCTCATTTCTCTGTAATTCAGCATCAACTTTTATCGCTAAAAGACGTAACTGCTCAATGAACCACTGTATGCAGTCTTTCCCACGATAAATAAAAAGGTCCGATTTTTAGTCATCATAGCTATATTTCACATAAATTGCAACACTGAATGGCACATGGTTTTGGTTTATTTTACTGTTTTGATCATTGTCATCGGAAACTCTTTCCAATAAACACTTAGTATCAGCAGACACAACATATAGAACATTCAGTTGGTTCTTGAAATATTAAAATTTCAAAAAATTTTCAGCACTACGGGGAAAAATCATTCGACACTTGTTGATTGATACACAATCGACCCTATGATGTAGGCCTCTTTCTTGAAAAAGTAACACAAACACCTGTCACATATGAGTGTTTTATGTTGAGCTTTTGAAATTTGTGCACCAAGCAAACGAGATAAATTCGAGATCCATGTGTAGTGATAAATTCTTTCTTGGTCATCATCGAGATTGTTTTCTTTTTTAATCATGAGAAGGTGAATCGTTCTTCCTTCCTCTTGCGGGGTGGTTGGAGGATTTTTGCTCAAATAGAGTGGCACAGTCCATTTCTTCCCTGATTCTTCATCATTATCAATTCCATATACATTAATCGACAATTCGTTCATTTTCTCGGACTTGGGAATATCTTTTAATGCCATGGGATATTTGAAATTACCAAAGCTGTTCATGACAGTGCTGACAGAGGGATATGAGCTTGTTCGTTGCTTATCTCCAACGTTGCAACGAGCGGCCATGGTGGACAATAAAAAGCAATAGATATCGTCTTTATTCTGAATGTTCACAACTACATGTTCCTTTTTAATCTATTCAGGTAGTTCAATGAAGGTAGATCCTCCCCACAATGGATTATATTTATTCGTGTTCACTTCCAAATTAATTACGTCAACTAATCTCCAGCCGGAGTCTTTTTCCTGGAACTTATCTGCTTTCACAAGAAGTTTTTCTCTAATGTGTTCTTCGAACCACTATCCAATATCAGTTGCATTAAGAATTTTTTTTTGTGTTCAAATATTTCTCTTCTTCAATGAGATGTTGATCTCTACTAATTTCATATTTACATGTTAATCCTACATTCACTTTCAACCTTCCTTCCAGTTTCAAGGCATTTTTCAAACGTACACAGAGCATTAGTCTAGCATCATCTAAAAATTTGGGTATGTCTGCATTTTTCACGTTAATAATTACACCGGTTCTCATACGAATGTCAAAAATACTTTGTAAGTTCCCCCATCGGACTCTATCAGTTAAATTACCCCTTAAGTCTCCTCCTATCACTTCCAAGTTTCTGAATCTTGCATAGAACGCTTTCAGTCGTCCTAACATGTAAGTTGAACCTCTTTTCTCACCATGGGTCGCACTCCTCTTCAATAATGCATTAATTTCTTTCGAATGTCCTTTGATGTGATTAAGCCATTGTTGAATTTCCCTGGGTCTCCTATTCGTTTTCACTATTTCATACGCATCCTTCAATGATCTCAATAATTCTTTACACGCGTTAGGNTTTTCTCACTATGACTCGCACTCCTCTTCAATAATGCATTAATTTCTTTCGAATGTCCTTTGATGTGATTAAGCCATTGTTGAATTTCCCTGGGTCTCCTATTCGTTTTCACTATTTCATACGCATCCTTCAATGATCTCAATAATTCTTTACACGCGTTAGGATTTTTTTTTTATTTGTTAGGATCCATGTTGTTCACGATAAAGGCACTAAAGCACTAGCGGAAAATCAAGAAGAAATTTGTTTATATAAATGCACATGTGGGTGTGCCTACGCTCGAACCCTCTGGAAAATGCCACGTGGTTGGTTGAAAAAGAACCATGTGACTCATGGAAAATTATTAGCAAAATAGCAACATTTTTTTTCGTGGGAAAAAAAAATATCTGAAAAATGTCCTGGATAACATTTCATCTTCGCGCTGCGATAAGACATCAAAGGGTCCGAAAACTCTGCTCCAGTTTGTCAAACATCATGTTCTTAGGGTTGTGAGTACCCATGCGTTCCCAGGTGTACAGCAATAGCCGCGAAAGTCTAAGTAAACAAAAGGTTGCGCTCGAATATCTTCCCACGGTTTTCCATCGTAATCAGTCTCGCACCAGATTATTTTATAAAGAAAAAAATCATTAATAAAAAATAAAAAATGAAATTATTGTTCAATTTATTTGTAATTTAAGCTGCAGTGTCATCTCCCTTCCCATCTACGTGGAATTTAATGTCGTTGTATTCACCACCCAAGTACTCCAACTTTGGTGCGCCTCTCGTAATTTCGTTCAGCAAGTCTTCGAATTGTTGGAAATTTTCAAGGAGAAGGAGAAGTCCGAATTGTTGGGGATTTCAAGGAGGAAGATTAGTTTTTCCATGGAATGGTAAAAATCAAAATACAGGAAATCTCAATATATACATAAATACACTACATCTGCAGCCATCACTTTCTTAAATAAATAATGACGCACCATTACAAATAACGATTTTCCATGAAGAAGGTAAATACCAAGATGCCGAAAATCTCAAGTTCGAGCAAGTTTAAAAAACGTCATGTGGTCACCAAATGTGACACATCTAGGACCATCTCAAGGGGGGGGGGAACTGATAGGTCATGAATAAATATGTTCAATCAAAAACGCTAATTACACCGTGAACTGTGAATTAATTCACTCTTCCTCCCACCCATCCCCACGGGATAGATTGATCAGATCATTGATAGAGACCCTTGCAGTCCAAAACCGCAAATTAATTGATTAACTCGCGAAACAACCCGCGACTCCGCGGATGACACTGCGAATTACGTAATCAATGGCGGATTAATTACCCCTTTCACCCACCCGGTCCTCTCGTGGGGGTCCTTTGGGCCGACACCATGGATAAATTGATTAACCCGGGAATCAACCCGCGACCGGCGAATTTTCGTTATTTGTTATTT